TGCTGGAAACAACAAGGTCAATGGCACGTAAGTGGTAACGATTCCTAGATGCCCTAGAAGTGCTATCGATGCTGCTGCGAAAGAATAACCTGCTCAAGTAGCAGATTACTGATCGAGGACCCCGTGCTGAGAATTGCGCAATTATTTATGGAAACAGGTATTTGCATTTTCTATTTCTGACCGGATTTTTTAATTGAGGCGTATGGGGACCCATCCTTCACTCATGCCAATACCAGTTGAATTCCGTGTCAAAAATTCGGAATCTGTCATAGACTCATCCACGCCATGTTACACCTTCACTTTTGTTATGGTTTTTTTCCTATTGTTCTGCATATCTTCGATTTTAAGAAGATCTATTTCATGAAAAACGCATGGTACAAAGGTAAACGGATCAATCTGGATGACTGTTGATTACAGAGACCAGCTCGCACGAGTACCTTGGACATTCAGTTAACATGGAGAACAACATGAACGACGAATTAGACAGAAGAAAGAAAGCAGTATGGGTCGCATTTGGGCCTCTCAGAGCAGCCACTGACCAATTAGCATACTCGGAACTCAGCGCTTGCCTTCTTACTTCAGCAATCATCCTAGCGCCTTGTTATGCAGCAGAGCCTTTGATTAATACTTAAAGCACGCAAGAATACTGCGCACTACTCAGAGCGCTTGAACGACCCTTTCTAAAATTTAGCCGGTACACGCAATATCTAGCTGGAATGCGAAGCTGTGACGTTCGAAATCTGTCTTATCTTCGAAACTCTAGAAAACACACATCGAAAGCGAAACATAGTTGGATGAGCTGGTCATATAATGAGAAAAATGGATGACAGATGGATTCCATTAGAATGCAAGTTCGCTTGGAAGACCACTCAAACGATAGGCGGTTGTGTTCGTAACAAAAGTCAGTCAGCTACACCGGGAGTTGAAGTTGTTTTACAGGTAATGCTATGGTTACAGATCAAGTCTGTCACAGGCATAAGACTCGATCCATCCACTGTGATCGAATCAAACTACAACCATGGAAGACGGTCGCGAGTGTAGGATAGGAATGGAAAACACGCTGGGGTCGTACAACTCGTGAAGACAGACCGTCCAAGTGTCCAAGCAACTACGAAGTATCTTCTTCGTATTTTTGTTGAGCAAACGCGAGGTGTTACTATTCTTTGTTCACGATTAAGCTGACGTTTCGGCGGATTTCGCCTTCTTCAGAGCCGCTTTCTATGAGGTTTCCACTAAGTATGTCACGTAGAGACCAACCGCACAGAAATCATGTGGAAGTATAATGTTATAGCTCAGAATAATGTTATAGCTCATTACGTGACTTGGTCTCTACGTGACGTACTTAGTGGAAACCTCATAGAAAGCGGCTCTGAAGAAGGCGAAATTCGCCGAAACGTCAGCTTAATCGTGAACAAAGAATAGTAACACCTCGCGTTTGCTCAACAAAAATACGAAGAAAATCACTTGATCAATGCCGAGGTTAATAGAAAGTCGGTCGTGGCAGTTACTGTAAGAAGTATCTATTAACATCACAAGTTTGAAAAGTGGCCACAAAAATAGTAAAACATTACAAAAATGCACTGAAATTATGGAAAGAATAAGATTAAATAAAGAATAAGTACATGAAGCACGCGCGCATGGTGTCAGTTAAAGGTGCATTGAAGTACACAGGTACTCATAGGTTCGACCACGCATCCCGAGTTCACCAAGCCTTCCATCGGTGTAAGTCCGGAATTATAGCCACTAGACTAGTATGAAAAGTGAAAATCACTAACGCGACACATCGGTAGTCACCAAGTCACTGTCTAGGTCAAATATGCACTCATTCGCCTCTATTTGTAATAAAATGGAATGTTTGGTACGTCCCTAAAGACTTATTAGTTCTGAAGCCTTCATTTCTTTTCTAATATCATAAGATGAAGCCATTATATCAGAACAAATGTTCATGGTTTTTGTAATTTCATGGGTATGCATGTTGAGGCACAAATGGCTATCCCATATAACAAAAAATACTGTTGGTCCTTCATAAAACTACTTACGTACAGCCCCTTTAGGTTATCATCTAAAAGGACACTGGTGGCTATCTATTGTATATTACACGATATTGCACGGAGTCCAACAATTCCGTTATTCGCTTCGCTTTCTGGAATCTATTATTTCTGTCAATGTCGTGGGATTTGACACTTCGGCTGCCACTTGAGGACTTTGTTCCCCACGAATATCGTTAAATGCCGTTCGAGTTGATTCTCTTTGAAGTCCTCTGTTACAGTGTTTAACGGTCTTCGGCAGATGGTTTTTAGCCTTTCTGGATCAGAAAAAGTTTTTCTGAAATGGTTGTAATATGCCGGCCCAGGGCAGATGTGATAGGTTTGGGTGACCTAGTGTGGGTTAGGACCACAGCACTGAGCGTATTATTGAGCACATCACGATTTCATAGCATTTTACCTTTCTCTTAAAGGATCGCCGTCCTAACGAAGTTGAACCATGAATAAAGCGCGTAGGACTGGTTTATGATATTATACCGTAAAAATTTTGATTTTTCGCATGAAAAGCAACTTTTATCAACGGCGTCCTGACATGGTAAAAACTTCTGTATCTACAGACTTCAGCAAGACTCATTGGACATCTAAGACCATCATTCACTTTGGAGCACTGTGATCTAACAAAGTCAACATTTCCTTGTCGGTGTTATCATGTACAGTCGCTGCTTCATAACTGCTGAGTGAAACTTTATGAAATCTTACTTATGGTAAAAGTAAAGCATTCGACGATGGAGAGCACGTATTTAGTCGAGAATATCTTCGAATAACAGAGGTTTTGACCAAGAAGTTCAGAGTTGCATAGATGCGAAGCTATGGAAGCCTCAACAGGCTCTTCGTCCACGAGCCAACATCAAGTTGCGACTAAATTGTAGTCGGCAAAAGATTAGTTTTATGAAGGGCTGTGCCACCTACGATACAATCATCCGCCCACATTAACGCCAAAAGTGGCTTTAGAACATCTGGAAAGTCTCAAATATTGAACAACAGAAAAAAACGATTGAAGCCATCTAAGCTTACTATGGCAACCAAAACCATCTGCAGCATTCAAAGTTCCGGAAGCGGGTGGTGCTAGACGTAGGAATCTCCCATTGGAGATGGCGATTTACCACATCATCAAAGCTCTTTATTTTTAATCCCTTAAGTGGATTTCGTGATACGATGTTATTGAAAGTTATTGGCAAGAAATATTGTTGATTTCCAGCAATGCTAGGAAAATGGAGAGTTTTACATTTAAACGAGACACTTGACTCTAAAATTTTCAGCCTTATATGTCAACATGGAGTCGCACTAGCAGTAGATAGCCACCAACTTTTATAAAAACCTCCAAACCTCTGCAGCGAAACGAAAAGAGAAGGAAATTACCAGCAGACAACCACTAGCAAAAGCTATTAAACTTGGAAAGGGCTTTATATCGTCCGTCTAGACATATGTATAACTATAAGTTAGAAATTTCGCTCCCTGATCTCAACATTGGTCAATCGTCTCACCCAGAATAGCAGTGTAGAAGTTTATCCCTGGTTTTTGCTTTCAGCTTTTGACATTCACACTTCCTGCCCTAATTTCACTTTAGGTAGGCCAAATATGTTACTCTAGCAATCCTTCGTTTTCCATCTCGTCGATGAGCAACCGAACAGTATTGCAATTGCAATTCGGTGGGGACCAAACTAGACCCTTTATTGAACACACCACTATTTCGAAGAATCGAAATACTCGCTCAGCTCTTCCTACTGTAATTATATAAAAACAAAGTACCAGATAACAGAAGCAAAAATTTTTGTGTTATTGCACCACAAGGGTTATTTATAGGAGATCAAGAGCTGTAAGCTAACGTGCTGCTCCCAAAATGCAAGTTTTTGCTCAAATGACTTCCAGCAAAGTTCACGGTACATCGTTCCACGAACATACCAACTTGACATCGTTTTTTTAGTATCGAACACAGCGAAGCGGTGCGAATACAGGCTGAAACATGTGGAAAGGTCAGTCTTCGGTTGAACTCAAAGTCAGCGATGTCTAAGAGAAGCTGATTTGTTCATGCCAGTCAACTGGACTGAGTACTCTAGTTGCATACACCGGAATTAGGAAACCAACAAGCACGTAATAGAAGAACACTACCTCATGGATCAGACATCCTCAGAAGAACACCAAGCGAGGAATACCATCCGTTTGTGGAGGGCGAGCAAATGGTTGCTCAACAACTACAGAATGCAACGGAAATGAGCCAGATTATGTTATTCAATGGTTAACTAGAGTACATGTTCTAAACGTATATGCAATACGTTTTCTAAGATTACTAAGCTATCATGAAGCTGGTATAAAAGCTTTACTATGTGATAGACCATCGAACCGGACCAAAGCCGCTCTGAGGAAGAAGAAGGCGTCGGAACGTTAGCCGAATAAAATTTCTATACCAGCCTCGTATCAGCCTAGTAATCTTAGAAAATATTGATAATTCATACCGAGGTTAAATTATGATCGATTTACAAATATATGCAGCACGGTTAATAAGAAATATTAATATAATCAATACAATTGTTTATTCAAGTTTGGGTTGCTCCGTGGTTCTCGTGGGGTCGGTTTCCTTTTGCAGGACTTGCGGTAGTCCTGGAATAATCGAGTACCATAGCAGCAAACTTTATCTAGTTAGAGTGGACCGACAACTGTATGAGCTGAGCATCAGAGAACGATCAAGCAAAATTGTCCCGGGTTTCCAAGAAAAAAATGAAACTAGGACAACGTTCACTATGTTGGCGAAGAATTGACACGTCTTAGAACCACAGTAGAATTTACACAAGAAATCGACTATCTCCGTGAAAAACGGCGAAAGATTGGAAGAAATGCTGGCAGTACAGTTTGAAGGCGTTTAAGTCATTTTAAGTCATTTAGGTTTGCAAGCGACGTATCTATTTTTGATAGGCAAGAAATAAAGTTTAGACTATTGTTGTGTATTGTGTTAACTGTTCAAATAAAGGCACAGAACCCAGTGACGTCCTTACCTTGCGTCGGTGCAGGAGGTGGAGAACGGCGCTGTGATGGTGTAGTTTCATGCTGTGACTGCCGGAAGAAATCAGGGGAATCTCTTGGCACACCGACTAAAAATTCAACATTAAAGAGCATGGGGTCATTCAGAAAGTAGAAAATTGGGAGAAAGGAAATATATAGATGACCTTGAAATTGGCACCGATCACCTTCGTAAACGCCCATTAAACAGATGCATGAGTGGAGTTGAGGATTTTCAAAGGAGAAGGCACACATGCCACCGTTTTCGCATCTAGAAAATTCCGCTGTTTTCCTATAGGTGTTAAAGATTCTCACTTAGTCATTCTGTATATCTGTGTATAAGGGTTGTAATTTTTTTGTTAAAGTAGTGTATTTTCTTGATACTTGAGCATCTATAGCTCATTGCAATGCCGACGTTGACGTTGACGCTTACATGTCCACATTGATTACCTCTATTTCATATTGCTTATACTCTAAGTCTAATTTGCCTAGATTAAGATATCGGACACATACACATCCCTTTGGGATCGAGTAGTTGGCATCTGACTTATCTGTGAAAAGCTCGCATTGGTCGACGAAGCGTGGTGACTGCCTGTGGTCAGTGACCGGAAACGTCGTAACACGGCTATTACATGATTCCAAAAGAAATTTACTATACTGGCATCTAATGGTATTTATGATGAAGGCAACAATCCCCGACTGGTAGCCGAATCCACACGCCAATCCGATGATTTTTCTAGATGACAGATGTGAGATAACGAATCGAATGAAATATTTTCTACGATGCGCGCACAATATGTGGAGTTGAGTAGTGTAAATTGAAAATAATAGAAAATAAACATATCCATCAGGATAGAAAAAATTTAACGAATTCAGCTTCTAAGAAAGTATCGTCTCTTCTAAGTCAAACTAACTCCAGTAAGTGAAATGTTTTCCATCTGATTGGAATTCTTTTGTGCTCCACTCGTATTGTGAGTTTGTCACGTCAGTGTGCAAAGTGTGGTGTTTCCGGTCATGGTGGGATCTTGACAATAAAGCCTACGAGCAAAGTTAGAGTTGGATACCGTCAAGTGCTCTATCAGCGATGACTATTCTAAGCCACTGCTTATTCCTGCTACGTAATAGAGACCGTTGTCACTGTAAATATGGCTGTTCAAATAAAGGTAGAATTAATATAGATAATCACAAGTTCGATATAACATAGAGGCGAAGTTTAGCAAATATTTTACAATACAAGTACAAGTACAATTTTGGTAAAGGCAGAATTATTATTGCATGAGCTTAAACAGTAAGCATTAAGCGTAGTTTGTGTTTGGTACAGGCTTGGACACGCATAAGCCACAAAAGCAGGGCTGATCTCAGAAAGCAGTGTTCTCGTCGTAGAGGTTGCGGAGCCTTTTGTAAACGTCATTCGCTAAACCACATGAGAGCGGTGTTCACCGGAAATGCGGCAAGTACGCGTTGCTGCCGTTAAGAGCGTAAACTAGAAAAAACAATCTCTATCAATGAGCTCATTCGTATTATTTGAAATGATAGCTGAGAGGTGATAGCAGTAATCATGCTTTATATTTGGGCCCTAGTATAGCAGCAGAGTTTAGACCACGAATGACGAAGCAAAATTATGGATAGAAGGAAAAAGGTTTTGCGCGACCAGTTTTTGATGGATGTTGTTGACACTATTAAGTATCATAACGATGACATTCAGAAGCCTACCGATGTATCAAGTCAGTGTCTCTTATCATCCCAGACTAGGTTGGCACTAGTTAGTGAGAATTTACGAATTTCTGAAGCAGTGTCATAGAATTTTGCCCCCAAGCGCTATTTATTTTGCTGCATTCTACATTTTGCCCTATTATTAACTGCAACTTAGTTATGGATAAAAAAAAGATTCAACTAAACGGTTTACCGCTTTATCGTGGTTGGGTTTTCTAGGGAGGTGTTCCTGAACATCGGGCTGCGATGTACAGCGGATGGATTGATCCTCCCAGCAAGGTCTCCAATGCTGAGAAGGAGTTCGGCGTTTCCATCAAGAAGCCCCTGGTATTAAACTAGTCACAAGGTGGCAAATCTCGCTCTGATGCACAAGAGCGGCAATAGCCTGTGGTAGTGCCGACCTGGGGCTACTTTGGCTAGGGTGACCGCGACACTTTAGGGAACCACAATGGCTAAGCCAGCAAAACTCCGAGAGAGTGGAAGTTATGCTGGTGCCTGCACAACCAGTGAAGACCAGCCGTCTAAGTGTCCAAATTAAGTAATTTAGTTGAAAATTAATCAGATTTTCACTTTTTGCCTTAATGATAGAATTCTTACCGTACATTACATGCGCTTTGCGGATTTACCAGTCCATGTCTGCTCACTGCCAAGATCGATTCGATGATCGACAGGACAAAGAGTAGAAAAAAGTATACCACAGTCCGCATTGTAAACAACGAAGAGCTGAAGAGGAGATTAGTTGCTGACGATGAGAGCAAGGATTTTTTCCAGCGTTTCTCTGGATAGTTCTGAAACGACCAACGAAAAGTAAGTGTTATGTTAGTCGCAAGGAAAACGAGTAAACAACGAGCAGCACACGGATTGAGGAGAAAAATTAGTTAGGAAGGATCATATTGGCCACCACTTCACCGGAATTATCAGCAAAACACGGCACAGTTGTTTCGTCGTGGTGTTTGGTGGTTGCAGATTGACTGGCAGTCACGCCCTACGGTTATAATTGTTCTAGTTAGAAGACGGATATTCTTGAACGATACAAGAGTTCTGACTTATTATTTACTGCCTACTCTTTTTAATCACAGGGTATACTGCGAAATATAACTCTAATGATGCTGAGATATTTGCAAAACTCCGGACCGCAGGTGTCTGCCAATTCCACTTTTTTCCCACCGCAGACACCTGCGGTCCAGAGTTTTGCAAATATCTCAGCATCATTAGCGATACAAGAGTTTCAGTTTAGATTCTTGGAGTTTCTTCCACGACTCTCATGCTAGGGACCACAGAGACCACGGTTCAATATGAGAAATCGAAAACTCTACTATGAAGTGGTATGCATTTGTTACGTAATCTTGTAAAAAAATAGCTGATTCAATTTATTGAATGCCCATAATCCAGTGAAGCTCTGTGTTAAACTCAATAAGAAGGAAGTAAAAAATTATAACAGTTCACTACGAAAATCTCAGGATTATCCCGGGAAAGATGTTCTGTCATAAAGAACTTCTGGCTAGAAAACAATGTTCAAGAGTGTTGTGAGGAAGGGGGGCCAAAAAAGATAAATAACAGTGAAATTTAATTTTCTTTCATAACCTCAATGTTTTTTTTTCCCAAAAAACTGAGGGAAAAAGTGGAGAGTGGTGGCATATTGTTATTTTGGTGTATTCTTCAAACCTCTAAGATTTTATGACCTAAAAGAGAACTTCAGCTCACCACAGTGTGTAGTCCACGACTTTTACGGACAATCGACCATCATTTGATTGCTTGAGAAAATCGACAGCAATGGTTACTCGCGTCTTAAGAATTTAGCAAGTTTACGAAAGTACCAATGATATTCTGTGAATGCATTTGCTTTGGCAAAACGTCATAATCTAAAAAAGCGCACAGCTGTTGAATTGGATTCCTCATAACATCTCTGATGTGATTTCATTCGAAAAAATGCAAAAGGGTCTGAGATTCCTTTCGATAATCAACAATCCCGATATTGGCCGCGTTCCCGAGTCGAAGAAGCAGGAGGATGGATTACACTGGGAATGAGAACGTCTTAATTTCATAAGCTGCTGATGAGCTGAACAAAATAACAACACAGTCGGAGAAGCTGGATGTGTTTTCTGGTTTCGCCGGAAAACCCGTCTTCGGTTATCCAAACAAACGGGAACAGATTTTCACTCCTTCATTTCCTTTTGAAAATTGTAGAGACGCATCAGTTACGATGTAAGGGCAGTATGTTATAGTAAAAGTAGTGTAAAAATCTGAACTGGTGCTATGATTCGTTTAATAGATCACTCGAAAACGTCTTTAACATTTCCGAGCTCAGAGAAATCCTACTAGACTGTAAAATTCGGAGCTACTCAACCCCATGTTGAGTATGATGAGCCTGTCCACACGACAGAACTCACCGTTTCATCGTTCGCCGTCTTCTCTGCCAAATTTCTTTAGGTAAATTATTCAAAACTACATAACACACTAAAAATGTCTTATATTTGTCATGTTTTCAAACTGTTACAGAGTTGGAGGTCTTTTGTTGCAAGTGGACTTTCCTGTGAAATCTGTACGAATCCAACATAGCACTCTGGAACTAACTATAAAACAAATTGGATAATAGTTTTTTTCAAACGACGTGCGAGTTCGGTCACTTGGACAGAATCAACTGGATGTTCATTCATTTAACCTTTTACCTTTATGGAAACCACTCGGAAGAGAATCGACTGGATTATGTGATGTATGGTGGGCAAGTGCACTTTATGAGGAATGAGGACATACCAATAGTACTGTGATCACCGATAGAGCTGCTCGCGAGAATTTGCGAGACGTTTAGAAGCGATCAATGTAATTTAACACCGTTCAAGTCGTCAATCAACACATAGGGAACTCAACCTGATATATATAACCGGCGAAGTAGTGGCGTATTGATGCCATTGTCACCTAATGGAGAATCTTCTAGAAGCTCTGACAGGAACAGTTGAAGGATTCTTTGGTCTTTCAAGCGCTATAAATGGTAAGGCAGGTGGGAAATCTAAAGCGTATATTAGAAACTTTTATTTGGAAATTATAGTGCGTCTTTAAGTTTTATAGGGATGGAAACGAAAGAGGGAAAAAGAACTTTTTAGATGAATTAAGAAGACTGGAATGTTTAACAGAAAGATAGGTTGACAGCTGGTCTTATATGCCCACAATTTTCAATGTATTGTGCTTTCTGACATTAATTTTGAGATTAATTTAGCATACCTGAGTTCGTGAAATGAGCCTAGTTTTTCGATTATGAGAGACTCGTTATTCGCATAGAAAAAGGAAAAGAGCTAATAACCCACACAAAAGCGACTGGTCTAGTCGGTACTATTATTTTTTGTTGATTTATACGACCCGACGTCACACATTGTGCAAATCCCAGCAGTTTTTCCATTTCGTTCGACTGGGTGGATTTGGGTGCTGACTGAGGATTTTTGTCATCTTTATGGATGTCGCTGAAATCAGGCCGAATAGATTGTCCTCGGAATCGCAAAAACACCGCACTTGGGCGTTCCCACTTAATCATCACAACAGTAAGCTAGCCTTTGTGGATTGGAAGAAACTTTTCCACAAGTATGCTACCAATTTTCCAACCTCGAAACTGTGGGAGGATTGGTTATCCAAGAACGAGGTTGAACAAGGGAACATGCGTGTGCTTTTGTGCGACATTTCTATTCGGTGAGCATTTCGCATCTTGTGTTAGTTAAAAATTTGCCGAAATCACTAATACTACTCATCAGTATTAATGTTGTTATGATTCAAAAAGTTCGCTTTCACTTAAACACTTCGATCCGGTTACCCGTGAAGCTTCTCTGTCACTTGACATTTAGACAGGTGGTGGATAAGAGATGAAATACGGGGGCGAGTGAGCATGGATGACTTTGAGCTTTTCTTGTGATGCAGATGAGTTCAAGAGTGAACTCCTATCTCTGCGACGCTGAATTAACATGTTCTTTTGGCATACACATTATAATTGTTTTATTCGCATTTGAAGGTTTTTTTTCTTTTTC